GGAAGGAAGGAAGGAAGGAAGGAAGGAAGGAAGGAAGGAAGGAAGGAAGGATGGATTTCAGAAATAGAGTGAGAAGATAATCCAGGCTTTGGCTTCCAGAGAAATTACTACCATCTCAAGGCAAAGAGCTGCAGTTCAAACATAGCTGGAGAGAATTAAAATAGATCTGAGAAACTTTGATTATACAGTTTCCAGTGCAACAAATTTCCAGTGAGTGTATAGATTTGAGGGATTGTTGTATCTTATGTATCATGAGCTGATGAAACAAAATACCCTGGTCTTTGCATGAAAAAGATCATAGTTTGTTTGAACACAAATGATGGAATACTTGAGATTTTCACTCCATTACGAGGCCCGAAAAAGCACCCCAAGTTACTTATAGATGAATACTTTTTCTGTTTCCATTAATTTGGCTGGTGAACCTTTTGGTATTTGTTTTTGTTTTAATCAGTACTTTGCAAAAAGAAGCTAGACACTTCAGTGCTTTTGTCACATCCATCTGCAAGACAATCAGGACTGCTGCAATATGCAGTGGAATTGGAACTACTCTATCCAACCTCTATCAGAAGAGGGAGAGGAAAGTTTGTGTCAGAGTTTGCACAATTGGATTGATATATACATTGAAGAGGGACTAGAACACAGTCATTCATCACCCCTCTTAGGGTGGGGATGACATCATGTAAGATGTTCATGAAATAAACAAGAATAAAGAATAGCATACAACCACTATATTTTGCCAAAGCAAACAAGATCAATTTTGTGAGTGTTATTATAGTATACAGTGGGGTTTCTGGTACTTAAATAGTTTTGGGACATGGAAAGGTTTAATTCTTTTTTCCCCTGCCATTGTGTGTAGAAAAAATAAATCTTTAAAGTTGTTATCTGCATTTTTGGAAAGTTTTTTTTTTGCCACAAATAGAGGTTTTCCTTGAGATGCAAATAAATGCTTTGGAAAGGAATTTTTGGGCTTGCAACAGAGAGTGGAACAATAACTCCCTTTCCAAAACTTACAGTAAAGCTGATTGTAATCCTCTGCTTTTGTAACAAAAAAAACACAGATAATCACCTCATTCCTATCATGACTGTTGCAGCATTTGGCTCTTCATTTGTAACGCTGGAAAAACCTTGGAAGCTAGATATCATGATCCCAAAAAACTAATTCCTCCATTTAGATGTACTGAGATCAGCTTTATTTATTCATAGATTACAAAAATATATTCCAAATACGTTCAAAGGCACCCTTGCTTTCACTTTTTCATTATCATATTGCTTTGAGTTTAAATACTAAACTATCAGTACTGCCAGTGAGCTCAGGATATTTTACTATGATGTTCTACTTAAGCGTCACTATGAAATCATCTCTATCTGTCTGTCTATCTAATTTTTCTCCACATCCATACAACTACACCTTTTACCACAGAAGCCCTTAAAACGTTTTCAGAGCAGTTCATCGTTGTGTTAACTGCAGCCCTCTTCTAAAAAAGAACCTCTGATGAGCTTATCTGCACTCCTTCCAGTAACCATGAGGGTTTGCAGAAATCAACATCCAGATATTACTACCCTGTGTCTCCATTTTTAGGCTCTGTGTTTTTTGCCTTGATTTTTCTTGGCAAGTTCAAAACAAGCCAGTCAGTTGCTGTAAGAGAAGCCTCAAAGTTGTCCCTGTGCTCATTTTAAAAGGAAGATGAAGTGATGCTATGGCACCACAATGACAGTCTTTGTAAATTACATTTTGGTAGAATTGCTCAAATCTACCCTCTATAAAGAGAGAGCAAGCATGGAGAAATGTAGGACAAAGCTGTATCTAATATTACACTGTGATAAATGTTGATGCTTTAGAGGTGCTAGTTGAGTGTTATTTTAGGAAGGAGATCCTGTCAGCTTCAGGTTAAATGGTGGAGAGAGTAGACAGAAGGGCAAGCTACTAAGACATTTCTTTTTTTGCAAAGATAAAAGCTATGCAGTGTTTATGCAAAATAATCTGTAGGTTTTCATCTATATTTGTTAATAGCAAAATAATTATTTCTTAAGACCTTTATTTTGTTGAATGCAGCTGTAATTAGAATTAGCTTCAGTGTTAATGCAAATAATATTAATGAAAGAAAATCAGTAAAATATAAGTATTAGCGTAAGAGTTTTGCATTTATATTGACTGTCTTGGAAGTGTGTGTATTAATCTAAGTACCTGCTTGGTTTCTTTGGGAAAGCTCACAGCACAGAGATTAAGAAGTATCTTGTAGTCAAGTCATAATATTGCTATCACTAAAACTATTTTCTATTCTATATTAACAGAGTCCAAAGGTAAACACTGCAAATATACCAGAGCATACATGAAAACAGCTTTTTCTTAACTATAATTATCTTCACAATGGCTTATGCCCTCTCTTGAATTTTAATAAGGAACTCAATTAAATTTTTATATAAATTAACTATGTAACATGATGCCAAAAATAAACCAGTCTGATGGCAGTTAGAATTAGCTTTCCTAATTAATATCGTGTTACTGGATAACCAGGATCATTAAAATTACAAGTAAATAATTCAGTGTCAATTACAAAGAATTACTGGAATAAAACTACTATACACTTAAAATATGATGCATTATTTGACCATATAAGCTTGAAGAATTCTGCAAGTATTGCATTTTAATTCCTGTAGCATACTAGATAAATGGTACTGAGCAAAACTGTCAATGTCAGATGACCTTGTCAACCAAGTTCATATTCCCAGTGTAATTAACAGAGCTACAAGGATCATGGTGGGGTCTAAAATTATTTGGCAGGATAGTCCCAGGTTATATCAATTACTGTGGATTTAGAGATTGTTTCCCTCTTGGGGTGGGATGGGGACTTCATTATGAGTTGCTGGAAGAAGGTTATGAGGAACTAGCAGCCTAGAAAGGATCATTCATAGATTATGTGATCTAAGCAATAAAGAAGTTGATTTAATCCAATACATGTCATAAATCAAGGGTCATCTTTTGTCATTCTCAAGAAAGGTCTGGTAGAAAGGTTATTTTTATAAAAAGTAGAGCCACCTCAGTGATTCTACTTGTACATACAATAGTAGTTACCTTCTGTTGATTCTGACTTTTCCATCCTATACTGAAAAACTCAGAGAGAAATAAGTAATCAGTTCTGCTTGCTTTAAAAATTGGGCAACATCCCTTAACTTTCCTTGCCACTAACACTCTTATTCTGAGGGATGTTGCTGGGCCTGAAAATAGAGTTTCCTGTTCTATGATCAGGCAAAAAATATTAAAAACTTTCCAACGTATAATTTCCTTTACAATGCTCTAGAATTTCTTACCAATCTATTCCTTGCAACAAGCCTCACATCACTTTCCTCAAATGCTGGGCAGAGAGATTAATCATGTTGTCAGCCAAAGATCAGATTAAGATGTTCAGAAGGGGTCCTATTTCAGGATAAGTAGACAATGCTCACTGTTAAAAAAAATAAGCATTCACATATTTGAGGTGAATATGTACAGTTTCTGTTAATGACAACCATCCTTCATACCACCTCCAGATATATTTTTTGTTGACCTAAATATGTTCACAAATGAGCAATTTTTACACCAAAATAAAAAAGAGAATATTCAATGCAGCCTTAGTTCACATATTCAGAATATGATGACAGATTTCCATTCAGAATGCTTTGTTTTTCTCAAAATGTCCATATGCAATACAACAGATTTATGAAACCTATCTCTTTATTTCTACAAAACTTTTATTTTTGCTTCCTCAAAAATGTTCCAGGCATATCCACAGAGTTCTTCTCTATTTACAGCGATACTTAAAAAGTACAGTGTCCTTAGCTTAACAAACTACATATGTATATACAGTTCTATATCGACATTACAAACAGAGATTTTAACACATCTCACTTCTGTCCTAAGAAGGAGAATGAGAAGAGGGAAAATAACTCTTTTCTAGACTGCCAGCACCTTTGTTCAGGTGTTCTCACTGATATCTGTTCTGTTCCCTGAAAACTGCAGTCTTTTCC